AGGCCCCCGGGGTGCCGGCCCCGGCCCCAGCCGAGCGGTGCTGGCCGAGAACCCCCGGCCAGGCTCGGGCCCTGGGGCGCTGGCCCGAGCGGCCCCGGCCCGAGCCCCTCGGGCCCCGGCGGCTCTGGCTCGGGCCCCGGCGTGCCGGCTCGGCCCCGGCCCGAGCAACTCCGGCCTGGCCCCGGCCCCAGCGGCTCCGGCCCGGACCCAAACCCCGTGACCCCAGCCCGAGCGGGGTCCGATTCCTGGGGGCGGGCCCCGCTCTTGCTAAGGCCGGCCCTGTGTGCAACAGATCCTGGGCCCACAGAGCTCACGCTGTGGTTCCCATAGAGGAGAATGCCCAGGAGTACAAGGTAGGAAATTGCTGTCCAATCCAATGAGTAATACATTTGGATTTTAATTACAATTTAATGTTAGCACAAGTTCCCTGACACAGATGCAACTGCATCATTCAGTTGTGTATAGCCTTCATTGCATGAAAGATGCTCCAAAAATAAATGATACTCCACTCTGTGAAGAAAGACAAAAAATGAAGATTTTAAATTTGTCTGACGTGGGAAACTTTTACCTGAGAAGCTTAATCCTTTTCCAAACCAACTCCCACTGGTGAAATAACAAATCTTTCTACAGAACAGAAGCGGTTAAATGATCAGTGAAGTTTAAATCACTTGAGCTGCAGGCCAGTCTATGTGAGAGTGTCGCCTTCAGACTGGAGAAAGGGAAGTTATGAGCTGTTGTTATTATTACTGATTTTTAGTGAGGTATTTATTATTATGTTTGCATCCCAGCAGCCTGTACAGACCCAAAATGAGATCTGACCTCCATTCTGCTAGGGCCTGCACAAAACATAGGGAGAAACAATCTCTGCACTGAACAGTTTACAGACATAACAGACAAAGGGTAGGAGGAAAAACAGAGGCACAGGGAGAAGAAGTATCTTGCCTATGGTCACCCAGCAGCTCAGTTGAAGAGCACCCAAGTCTCCTAAGGTCTAATCCGGCATCCTAACCCCTAGGGCATGCTACCCCAGCAGCACTGAGCAGTGAGGAGGCCTGCCGATTAAGAGGAAAAGATTCCTTGATAAAGGCCCCAAGCCCAGCAGGGAGCTGGGGTTTCCCATGGGATTCTGAATTCTCATGTGGCTCCATGACTGGTTAAACTCAGATGCCATCCTCCACTACAGTAGTTGACTGGGTGGACCCAAGCACCAGGCATCACACAGAGAAGGGCTCCAGACAGCAGAGGTCCATGCCAAATACCATTTGGATTAGAGTGCATTGCAGCAAAACTAACCACTGGGTGGTGCTGACCAACAGTGAACTGTTTTGTTGTGTATGTGGTCAAGGACCAGCCAAAGGGGTTCCCCTCATGCAGCCTTTTGAAATCTCCCAGAATCCACATCTTCTGGAACCTTTGCTATGGACTGTGGGGTAGCTACCCAGAAGGCATTGCTACCGAAAGGGTTTATGACAACACTAAGGTAAACCTCAGCTGTCCTTAACACAAATCAACCCATCTCATGGGGTTTCCACGTGTGCCCAGGCCACTTCTGTCCAACTAGTGCGATCCGCAGAGGTTCAGGGCTGAAATTCAATGGGAGTTGCGATCCTTTGAGAATCCCAGACCATATTTCTAACCCTGGTGACTGCTGGGACTTGTATCACTTTGTTTGCTAAACTGCCTCAAAAACAGGTTTATTGATCCACCACCGGGTGAAACCAGTTTCCTGCTGGTTTAACTCAACTGAGAAACTGGACTAAAACATTCCAAACAGTCTGAATATAAAACACTCCCAATCTCCATGAGTAATGTGTCATTTCCTTGGTGTCTCTGATGTCATACTATGACATTCTGGGGTGCAATCCCAACCAATGAGGTGTTGTGTCACCCCTGTCCTGCACCCTTGGGTGCCTTACAATGCCTTGCTGTGTTAGGTGGGCTGCTCACAGCCAGCCTATCAGCACGCAGGTGCCCCTGAGTGTATGTGTGTATCTGCAGCCAGCCAGCCACAGTCTGGCTCTCACCTGCGTTGGTTACCACTGAAGGGTGTCCCCAAAACACTCCCAGTCTAGGATTTCCCCCAAAAATGTAGGTCTCTTACTATGAAGCCCTCCCCTGGACAGTCCAGATATACAAAGTCCGTTGTCCCTTTGAGCGAACAATACACAATAACTTTTCACATTAAATAGAGTTACCCAGACGGTTTAATTTAACAACATTGGATTAGTTTCAATTAAAGAATAAAAGAAGTTTATTATAGAAGAAGATAGGATCTTAAGTGAGTGCAAGTAATGAGGCATAAAAGTCAGAAATGGTTACAAGAAAAATAAAGATAAAATGCTTCCTAGTGCCTAACTTAACAAACTATACTTGATTCAAAGTAAAGTCTGTACCGTGTCCTTCCAATTGACCAACCTTTGCAGGTCACGATCCCTCCCGCAAAGCCCAACAGCTATTTCTTTTGTCTTCTTAGGTGGATAGAAGGAGATGCTTCATGCTGCTTTGTCTCATCTGGGAGTATTGAGATGCAGATTTTCTTTGTCTCCTTTCTTTTCACTCCCGCTATCTGAGGACTTTGTTTACAGTTTGTATGCAAATTGAGGTAACCACACATCCCTTTGTTTAAGACCTGCTTGACCAATTGAGCCTAATTGGGGCTATGTGAGTTTAACATCATACGGGAGGGATCTCACAACTTTACAGTGTTGTGACATAGATTCTACCATGATATTGACCAGTGAGTTAGTTTTCAAATGATACCTCAGAAGGCATTTTTGTACAAAGATTATTACAATCATGTGAAGGGTGCATATACGGGGTGCACTCAGTCACACACAGCTCTAGTAGAACTGATAGTCATCTACAGAATCTTGTGTTTTGGGTGAAAAGAACCCGCTACACACACACACACACACACACACCACCTTTAAAATGAAACCAGCAAATCATCTCTGTTTATTCAGGAAAAAATCTGGGCCCATTTGAAGACTCTGAGGGAAGAGCGACAAAAGCTCCAGGGATTTAAAGTGAGTGAAGAAAAGAGAAGCCAGGAGTATCTGGTAGGTGGCCACAGTTTTTCACCTGTTGTTTCATGGGAGTAGGAGGTTTGTTTGTTGGTAGATTTCCTTGTGGCTAGGTGAATGTGAGCTTGTGTTTCTTCATGATCATGGAATTGTGTGTGTCTGTGTGTGTCTGTGAGAGAGAGCGAGAGATAAAATTTCTCTCCCTGGAGAAGGACAACACCATCATCTGTAGAATCTGAGATGCATTTGAATGAATGAATTAAATTCTACCCCTTGTGGCTTTCACAAAACTTCCCCCAAACTGAGCTGACCATACCCTGGGCAGCACTGTCTGTTGCAGTCTGCAGTCATTTACTGCATTTTTGGATCATTTGATTACTTTTCTCCCCTGACATCTCTGTCAGTGTAGTGCTGAGTCCTGCCTCCTGCTGCTTGGGACCTGAATTCTCAGGGCACATCTACACAGCCATCAGCAGTGAACCTCCAGGCCAGGCTGACAGACTCAAGCTCACGTGACATGCAGTAAAGCACTAAAAACGGCTGTGTAATCTGTGCTTCTACACTGCAGCTCTGGCTGGAGCTCAGGCTCTGAAGTCCACCCTACTCCCGCCCTAGGTTTCAGAGCCCGAGCTTCAGCCCTAGCTGTAGTGTCTGCACAGCTATTATTAGTGCAGTAGCATAAGCCCCATGAGCTCAAGTCTGTTGTCCTGGGCTCAGAGGCTCCCTGCCACAAGCTGTGTAAATGGAGCCTCAGAGGCCATTGATAACATGGTGTCCTAACCATGTCTAATATGGAAACATCCCTTGAAGAGCTATTGTGGCCAAACGGAAAGCTGTAAGAAAATCCTCTCCCTAGTAATCACAAGGGATACTAAAGTGTCAGGAAGTGAAGGATGGAGGGTCTTGAACCTGGATCTACAAGTGCCAGACCACAGCTGCAACCCAGCAGCAATCGGGAACCAGTTTGGGAGGGGGCAAGTAGAACTCTGGCCCAGCAGAGGCGCCACCTAAGAAGCTCCTAATTGGAGCAAACATTCGGATGTATTGCTTAAGCCAGAAGGAGTCAGGAAGTTGTCTGAGCAACTGAGTGAACTCCTGATCTGCTGCTGGACTGGACCCTGAGTGCAGCTTGACCCTGGCATAATTACCTGACTCTGGTTTGACCCTTGATCCTGATATCTAACTCCACCTTGGTCCTTGACACCGTTCCCTGAGTCCAAATTTACCCACGGCATGGATCACTGACTGACTCCAGTCCAGACTCATGGCCTGACTCCTGACACTGCTTCTGGCAGAACTTTTGCTATGACTCATGACACTGAGTGTGGCTCCAGTCCTTGGTGCTATCTGGCTTTGACTCTGGCTTCAGGTCCTGGCGTCCAACCCTGGCTTTGACCACTAGGCCTGACCACCCATGCCTCATTCCCTACACAGATGTCTTAGAAATGGAAAAGAAATTCTCTTTTGTAGGGCTTTATGTAAGGCCCACAGGCCCTGTACATGTGCCTGGTCAGCCCTTTACTTATTTTTTTATAGAAACAGACACAAACTGAGAGGTGGCACTGAGATATTCTCTCTGTCTCTCCTCTAGGATGTCAGAAGCACCTTGAGGAGGTACATGGCTCTCTCTCACCCCACACACACTTCACAATGTGGGAAGGGACTTGGACATAATATTAAAACCACGTTTCCCCAGAGCTCCACGGCACAATGTGAGGGGAAGGTCACATTTTGGATACAAATCTCCCCATTGAGGTTAATCCTGAGGTTCTCACCCTTTTATAGAAGACTATGGAATTACCTGTTCAGTGGGAGAGATTGAGCGAAAGTATTTCTTAGAGATGTATCCCTGGGGGACTGGCTGCCTAAGCATTCTGGGGATGGAATATGGGCTTTTCACCTCTAGGACAATGGTTACAATCTGATCCAGGTCAGCAGTGAGCCAAAGTCTTTGCCACCAGAGGACTGAGGAGACCTGAGTGGAATTTAGCTGGGGAGAGAGGTATCAGTCTCATTCCTAGGGGAGAGATTTCTACAACACTTAACATGAGAACCTCCTGATCATCAAAGCATTGAGGCCAAGGCGTAAATTGCCTGAGGAGATTCAATTTGCCTTCTACAGCCAGAGCTGGTCTCTTCAGGCCACAGCTGAAGAATATTAATGGGACCTTTAGCAGGTAGATTGGATTGCCATGGTCTGTGCTGCACCTGCTCCGAGGCTGGGAAAAGTAGAGGAATTCAAACTCCAGGCCCATTAAAGAAGCAAGTTTTATTAGCAAGAAATTATGAGTCACTAACTGAAATATTTCAGAGTGGCAGCCATGTTAGTCTGTATCAGCCAAAAGAACTAGGAGTACTTGTGGCACCTTAAAGACTAATGAATTTATTTGAGCATAAACTTTTGTGGATTAAAACCCACTTCATCGGATGCATGCAGTGGAAAATATAGTAGGAAGATATATATACAGAGAAGACATGAAAAAATGGGTGTTTCCATACTAACTATAAAGAGAGTAATCAGTTAAGGTAGGCTATCAGCAGGAGAAAAAAAAACTTTTGTAGTGATAATCAGGATGGCCAATTTCCAACAGTTGACAAGAAGGTGTGAGTAACAGTAGGGAAAAAAATTAGCATGGGGAAATAGGTTTTACTTTGTGTAATGACCCATCCACTCCCAGTCTTTATTCAAGCCTAATTTAATGGTGTCCAGTTTGCAAATTAATTCCAATTCTGCAGTTTCTCGCTGGAGTCTGTTTTAAGCTTTTTGTTGGAGTATTGCAACTTTGAGGTCTGTAATCGAGTGACCAGGGAAGTTAAAGTGTTCTCCGACTGGTTTTTGAATGTTATAATTCTTGACATCTGATTTGTGTCCATTTATTCTTTTGCGTAGAGACTGTCCGATTTGGCCAATGTACAAGGCAGAGGGGCATTGCTGGCATATGATGGCATATATCACAATCAGCATCTGGGTCCAGTACAGCAAGAAGTTATTTAAAAAACTCTGCTCACTATACAAAATGTTCTGACCCCCAAAGGATCAGCCACATTGCCAGGTCAGTATAGATTTGGATCTTACCCAAAATACCACGTCGCCAGCCAATCCTTTAGTGTCTAAAACTAAAGGTTTGTTATAAATAAAAAAGAAAGAACAAGAAGAGAGTTGTTAAATGGCAAAGCAATCAGATACATACAGAGATGTCAAAGTCCATATATTAGGTTCTTAGCAGTACTGGTGAGTTTGTTGGCTTGAAAGTCCCTCTGGAACACATCTAAAGCATGGATGGGTCATTCAGTCCTTTGTTCAGAGCTTCAGTTTGTAGAAAAGTCACTCCAGAGGTAAGAAGCAGGATTGAACACAAAATGGAGATGATGCAGCTGCCGCTTTATATTCCTTTTGCCAGGTGGCTTGTACTTCCTGTGTCTCAAACACAAGCTCTACAGCACACGGCATGGAAAACCCTTAGAGTTCTGTCCATAGACATGCTCCTACATGACTTGCTGACTCATTAGGTGTAGTCCCTGGTCTTTCAATAGGTTTATTTTACAGCTGATGACCCTTGATGGGCCATTGAACAGGCCAGGCAGTGCTGATGCCAATCTGTCTGAGGGTGTCACGCAGAAACACAGCACAAGTTTGGAAATACAGATATACCCTACAGATCTAAAACTCATAATGCAAAGGTGATACAAACAGATGAATAAGATCATCATACTTGGCAAATTATAACATTTTTGCAGATACCTCACCGGCATAACTGGTCAGATTCTGTGCAATGTTATAATATCGGTGTCAAGAATATCAGAAAGTGTCTCACATATTCCATACAGTGTCACAATGGTTGTGAGGCTTAATGGCCATGGATTCCATTGCTGTGACATGCCAGAATGAAAGAGGAAATGGGAAATTAGTTTATACTACAGACCTGAGTGTGTCTCTGTCCCTCTCCGTCTGTTTCTCTGGCCAATTAAAAGACAGTTATGTGAGTTAAGAATGGGAACGCCATCATAAACGTGAGAGCCTGAAATCTCATTTCTGTAGTCCTTGCCCCCTCCAGACACTGTGCTTTGAACTGGAGAAAAGTGGCTCTTCCCCCACGCAGTGCAAACTCCTACTCTGTGGTCTTCAGTGGCTCTTCCCCAATGCTGCACCTTCCTCTGTTCGCTGGCCTGGGAGTGGAGGCTGCATTTAGCGGAGGGAGCTTCCCTCTGGGGTTTAAAGCTGGTACCTGCCTCCCTTGCTCCCTCCTCACTAAATGCTTCTGAGACCTTCCTAGCTGTGTCAGCTGCTGGGAATGGAGCAGCCCCAGCAGGGGGAGCAGGGAGCTGCAGCCCCTGTAAAAAATGAGAAACTGATGAGCAGCTCCCATTAAAGAGAATGAGAAACTGCAGTGAGATCTCTGCTCAGTCTCAGGATCCCAGGATCCAGGACTGTCCCAGCCAGAACAGGGCTGTTGCTGGAGAGTGTGAGAAATGGTCTCAGCCTTCTGCAGGGCTGAGTTTTGCCTTTAATGCTCTGATTCTCTCTCTCCTCAGTGAATGTAACTCTGGATCCAGACCTTGCTCATCCCCGACTCATCCTGTCTGAGGATTGGAAAAGTGTGAGATGTGGACAGGGCCGGCTCCAGGCACCAGCTTCTCAAGCAGGTGCTTGGGGCGGCCACTCCGGACAGGTGCGGCAGGTCCAGGTATTCGGTGGCAATTCGGCGGACGATCCCTCACTCCGCCTGGGAGTGAAGGACCTCCTGCCGAATTGCTGCTGCAGATCGCGATCGCGGTCTTTTTTGGCTGCTTGGGGCGGCCAAAACCCTGGAGCCGGCCCTGGATGTGGAGACATCCAGCAGGATCTACCTGACAATCCTGAGAGATTTGACACTGAACACTGCATGCTGGGCTGTGAAGGATTCACCTTGGGGAGACATTGCTGGGAGGTGGAGCTGGAGGATGGGATGTGCGGGGCTGTGGGGATGGCCAGAGAGTCCGTGAGGAGGAAGGGAGGGATCAGCTGTAACCCTAAGTAGGGGATCTGGGCTGTGATGTGGTGGGTGGATTGGTACCAAGCTCTCACCTCCCCTGAAACCCCCCTGACTCCAGCAGGATCCGGGTTTGTCTGGACTATGATAGGGGGCAGGTGACATTTTTCGATGCTGATTATGAGGCCAATGATCTTCACTTTCCCACCAGCCTCTTTCACTGGAGAGAGAATCCACCCCGTCTCTGGGTGGGGCAGGATCCCAGATCAGACTGTGTCTCTGAGACATGGGGGGAATACCCCATTGGGGACATTGAAATCAGCCTGTCTTGTCTCAGACACACCAGTCTCTATTCAGACATGGGGTCTGGACTGTCAAACCATAGAGAGCAGGGAGTGATTGAGATGGAGAAGCCAATCTCATTGTGCCAGAGATTGTGCAGCCCATTTGTCACTGTTCTGTATGATCTGGGAGGATCTGGAGATCCTGGGTCAGACTGTGTAACTGAAACTGGATGCGGGGGTAGAGGGGAAGGGTAAGTACAGCACACTAAGGCCTGTTCTACACTACAGAGTTAGGTCTTCGTAAGGCAGCTTATGTCGACCTAATAACTTCAGCATCTACACTCCAGAGTTCCTCTATCTGATTTAACTTGCCTGCTACTTCAACTTAATAACTCCACCTCCGCAAGAGGTATAGCTCCTAAGTTGACATAGGTCGACACAGTGGCATTGTAGACATTGCATTGCTTATGTCAATTGAAGTGGCTTCCAGGAGCTGTCCCACAATGCTCCGCAGTCAGGGCCGGTGCAAGGAAGTTTCACGCCCAAACTTCCACCTTGCGCCCTCCCCCCCCGCCAGCCCTGCGGCAGCTCCCCGCCCCCCCTCCGCCCTGAGGCGCCCCCCTCCGCGGCAGCTCCCCCCCTGGAGAGCTGTGCGGCAGCTCCCCACCCCACCCCAGCCTGGGGAGCTGTGCGGCAGCTCCCCACCCCAGCTCACCTCTGCTCCGCCTCATCCCCTTGTTCTCCGCCTCCCGTCTCACTA